TAGAATATTACTCATTCGCACTGTTGACACATTTTTACTAATCATCAAATAGATAATGTGTAAACAAGGAGTTCCACTTAAAGTTACTCATAAATAAAACATGTAACACTATAAATTACTTATACAAATTGAAATAATAAAAAATCCAGCTGCATATATCTAGATACCAATATCAAATATCCAATTAATTTCTCCTAGTGCATGGTACATGTCGGAATGTCTGGGGCAAATGAAACCCCCTTTCAGTTTTTTGGCTAGGAATGAGTGCCGGAGCTCGGGCAGGGGGGTCTGAGAGTGGGTTAAGATCCGCTTGGCCCTGCCCTGGCAGCCATATGTTCCATTAGCTTTTTTTAAGCGCCTATTGCCATCGCGGTTGGCAACGCTTTCTCACTGCTGAAATTTTAACAGATTTTCCCCTCCTGTTACGCTGCCATTTTGAACATTGCGGTTGAACTTTTCACTAACCGACAACACGAGTCAAAATAAGGAGAGAGTGAAAAAAAATCAAAATAGCAAACCGGCAGCCAGGAAAACCAACACAAAAAAATTGAAAGGATAGAAAAAAATTGATTTGTAGAGCTTTGAATACTCTTACAAAAATATCTTTTAAAAGGAAGCTTCTAGATTTAAGGGATTTATTTAGCTTTTAAATTTTGTTGTTGAATTTACAGAAATATTTCTTTAAAAAGAATTTATAATAATCGAACCTATTTTGAACACTTTTATGCCTGATTTGAACTCTTCCACAGAAATGGTATACTTCTTATTACAGTCGAAATGCCCTCGAAAAAAACATCACAGCGTGATCGGCTTTTAAGGACTCAAGGACTAAACTGGGCAATATCGCCGCCTTTTGCTTATTTGCATCGATTTGCGGGGCCAAACGATGGGGCTTGGATTCATTGGGCTTTGGGGTTCCGGGTTCCGGGTTCGGGGACGGGCTGCCATGTTCTTTGGTGCTGTTTTGTGGACTCGTTAACATCGCCATTGCCGTCAGCTGCACCTGCACCAGTGCCAGGGACCTGCACCAGTCTGACGCTGCATTTTCGTCCTGCCACACGATGCCGTGTCATGGAATTCTGAGCTGAGGACGCGTCAAAGTGCAAATGAGCTCAACGATGTCTGCATTTGCTTCTCTCCCTCATCCAAGCCATCCACCCATCCACCCACTCACCTCCTGCACCTGCTCCTTTTACCTCGAGGGGACACACACAATCAGGACGAAGGAGTTGGAACGCTGGGCAAACACAATAAATGCATTCATGCAATATGCATCAGGTAATCTCGTTGCTTTTAATCGCTGTTTGACATCAAAATTACAGTTTTCTTAAGACGCCTCAGCCAAAGTCTCAGTCTCATCCATCAACTGGCAGATAGAAGAGTATAATGTATGGTAAAGATACCCATTCATTCTGGTGGAAAATATTTACTTAAGCTCCTTTCCTTTGATGGGGTAACATCTTAAGAATTTTTTCTGGCCATATCCGCAAACAATAATTTTATTCAAAGGCATAAAGGAATCTATTAGTTAACGCATGTTTGTTTAGCCAAAGTGTTTTAGTTTTCTATGACTTCCTGCTAAGTCTTTTTTGTTGCAAAATAATGTTCTTTTAAGATTTAGTCCTTATAAACTAAGTTAAATTATATGTAAATCCAGGAAGCAATATATTTTATATTAATAGTATATATTCCCAATTTGAGTACTTTAATTATTTACTTTTCTTTAGTTTCTAAACACAGATCAGTCCTGACTGCAGTTGTCAAGCATTTTGGGGGAATTAGCCTCCCCCTGAGGGTCCTGTGTCCACTTGGTCCTTCTATTGATGCCCCGACACGTTCCGAACAATCGCTCACTTTGACGGCTGCCTATTGTTTGAAGTTTTTCCTCGGCCGTTGTTCTCTTTCCTTTTTTTTAGTTTTCCCCTTGCTACTTTTGTATTTTCCCTGTTTTGTTTGTTTCCCTCCGTTGTCGTCTTTCGTTGCTTTTCTAGTTTTTCATACTCCGCCACAATGGCGTTGGAGGTAGCTGGAAAATTGGGGCTTTCTGTTCCAGGGACGGGGCCAAAGGACTTATTGAACTCTACGGTCGCCCACTCTCTCTCTATTGTGGCTGTCGATGGGGCATCTTGGGTCGAGTAGCCTTTTCGCTCTGTTCCTTGAACTATGGAGTGTTTTCAACCTAAAACGATAAAGTGATTTGGGACATTTAATCTTGTTTGCATATCATTTGAACGGAGTTTTTCTGAGTCAAAGCTGGAAGCAAAAAGCGTTATGTAAGTGTTTCCGGATGATTCAATTAAATGATTCAATAAAAACAAAAAGGGGAAAATGATAAAATAAAAAAAAAAATACAAAAAAAACGAGAAAAGCTTTAAAAAGTGAGCTTAATAAATAAATGCCGTCCCAACACAATGGATATCTGAATAATACACTTTTTTAATGAGATAAATCTGGGCGAATATCTGGTTTATTTAAACAAAATATATTATTTCAACTTACTTTTATTTTTCCAATAATAGAAAAATGTTTTTAATTAATTAAAAGATACACTAAGTGAAAATAAATGTTTTATACTGCAACAGAAATATAAAACATTAATAAAATGATATAATAATGTGGTTTAACTTTATAGACTAATAATATAATAATAAGAATAAAATAAAATTTATACGAGAGGAAAATACTAAAGAAGACCTATTATATTGACTGACTTTTGTATATTATTTACTATTATGGAAGTTTAACGCAATAAAAATGAATATAAAAAAAAATGCAATTCGATTTTTCTTGAAATTGTAAACTTTCTGCAAATAATTTAAATATTGACTGACACTTATTACAAGTTTCTGAAAGTTCATCAAAATTATATATATATATTATATGTGAGGTTAAAAATTACAGAGCACCTAGAGTAGCCTTGACAATGCTACATCATTCAGTTAAGACTCAGCACATCCTTCACTGTCTTATTGGCCCAAGGCCTTGTCTCAGCTGTGTTCTGAAGGAAAGGACAGCTGTGTAACATTGCCTCATGCATTCAGGTGAAACAGTTTTGCAATTTCACGCGAACCAGGCATTGTTTTCCCCCATTCCCTCGATGTTCTCCTCCTTCGACCTAATCGGAGCTGGTGTCCCTTTCTGGCTGGCAGGACTACTCGCAGATCCAACAACGTCAGCAGTTGGCCAAAAGACAAATGGAAGGCTTTCGCTTGCTTGGCTACTGGTGGCAGCAATTAAAAGATTTTCATGCTGCTTCAGCTGCTTTCATTTTCGACCACTCCTTCATCTGTTCAAGTCCGGGTTCCTAACCCTTTCCCCACGAATTTTTCACCACCCCTAGGAAACAAACATACACATTTTTTTTGTCTGCTCTTGTCTCCATTTAGTCACTGTTAGTTTCAACTTTAAGGGTCATTTGTCTTTTTTTTGGGGGAAACTTTTCGTCTCACTTTGTTTCGCCAAGTTGCCATGTCATTGTGATGGAAAGCGAGCGGACACATATATAGACCCATCTTGCTCAGCTCGGTTTTTTTGTTTGTTTGTTTGTGTTCAGAGGATATTTATGTTTTGCCAAAGGATCCTTTTTTGCAGTATTTTATGGGTTAAGGACTAAGCTAAAGCCTGACCTGGTTGCAGGAACTATTGTTCCATATTGACAGCATGTTGGAGTTATTTATTAAAGATTTATTTATTATTTCATGTAAATATTGGTCAACATACAAGGTAAATTCCAATATTTTTTGTTTATTTATTTAGAATCTCCAGGAATCAGTTGTACTATGTTACTTATTTTATATCATTTTTTAAGCAAACTTTATCGATTGTTTTTAATTACAAGTGCAAGCTAAACAAAACACTTAAGGTTTAAAACTTTCTAATCATTTAATTAAATACATCATAAAGTGCCAAAAATTACTAATTAAATGCCTAGTATTAACCACAAATATAGATCATTGAACATTAATAAATCATTGCTCTTATAGAAGTAAAATAATAACATATAATTTCGTTTATTGAGCCTATCTCAATGCCCTTTAGAGTCAAAATTATGAAACCAAAAAACACTTGCCAAAATATTAAAACTTGACCAAGAGTATGGGATATTCTATATAAGCACTTGGGTCATCCGCCGAGTGTAGTGAACCACAAAAATGGCGCTTGACCTCGCTCTCTCTCTGAGTGTTGTGCGTGCGTGTATAAAGTGTGTGTGCGGATTCACACGAGTGTGCATTGTGTCTGTGCGGAACCGCAATAAACAATACAAATTTATGTGCGCTCGGAAACATTTTAATTAATCACTGGAGGGCATCAATTGCATTTTGTATGCTAATAATTTGCGCTATAAATATTCCATAACCTTTTGCGATCAAATCATAGAGACCAAGGCCCGGCCTCATCTGCCATTCGATTTATGTTATATATTTTTTTTATAGTGCCAAACTGCACTCTATCCCTTTTTATTGCGCGCATTTTAAAATGAATTGATATTCAATTAAGCTAAAATTTTGCTCTCCTACATGGGCAAAAACAAGCACACAACCACTAGAATGCAGCGAATAATAAATATTTATTTAGGTTTGCAGTTCATATTTTATACTATTGATGGTGCTGTTGCCTGGGTTTTGTTGTTTTATCTTTTTGTTTGTATTAACTGCAATGGGAAACAAGGGAAAAAGTTAAGCAAACATTGATGAAAAGCGGAAAATGTTTTTTTGCCCTGAGGTCTAACGAACTCGAAATGCGCTGTGAGAGGAGGAAGTAGTTATATGAAAGTGTTAAAGATAGGGAGTTGTATAATAACTAATTTGATTATTGGTCTTAATTTTAGGAATTATGTTGGGGTATTTAGACTATTTAATACAGATTAACTTCTTTACTTTCCTATAATCTTATAGAAAATAGTTTCTTTTATATATATAAAGATTAAGCTTTCCTGGTAAATAATGATTAAGGTTTTTCCTGTATTAAGGAAAATTTTTAATAGCTAAGATCGTCCCGAACGTAAACATTACACTTTATAAAAGTAGGCAACCTCTTCGTGAACCATAGATGATATCCAATTCCCTGAAAATCTTTCCATTGATAAGATCATCGTTCTTTTGGGTCTGGGCATCGTTCAGTGCATCCATCTTCAAACGCTTAATACCTGGCTTATGTACCAGAAAGGCATTATCCAGGATATGGAATGTGTAGTTAAGGACACACATTGTATATGCCTGAGTCATCTTGTCCCTTTGCCCCTCCCAGCTCAGTCGCTCATCATACGGGGGATCCCTGACGGTGCCTATAAAGATCGGTTCCCATAGTTCATACGGTGACAAACGTCGAGCCACATTGAACACATTTAGATACTCCATGTCAATATTTGAAGCATATATCCATTCCATCAGCTTTGGTCCACTATGACAGACCTCGCAGATTTCCAAATGGAATGGCACAGCTTTTTTGGCGTATACCATTTCCTGCAATTTCCGCTTGGTATTGGGTATCGAAACATTGGGCATTACCTCAAAGATGCGTAGTACATGGACCACTGGAGATGTGTACAATATTTGGGGTCTTGAAATTACCTATTGAAAAGTTTGTTGGAATAATTAAAATTGTATAAATTGTGTTCCCAGAAAATCCAACCTCACCGAAAGACTTAAGAAGCGCAAATAGGCTGGCACTAAACCGGGTGAGGGATATAGCTCTATGTCCGAGGCCAGGACAAAGTGTGTGAGCGAGGCATCGCGTGCTATATTGCGTCCCATGTTCACAGGATAATTCAACTTGATCCGCGACCTGTACAAGTCCATCTTTCTCACATTCACATACGGAGCTGGAGCACTGCAATTCATTTGCCTGGACAAAGCCACCTTTGCCGTGGGCAACACCTTGGGCATGAGCAGGACATCGAAGAACAAATGGAAACTGGTCAGCTCGCGAACCAAGTGCCTTCCAGGATGACATTGTAGCAGGTAGAGAATGCTCCTCAGGGTGGGTTCGAAATCCTCCCCGGGGCATAGATAGCCAGGCTGAGGGGAGAACGCCATCGCTTCAGGAGAGGAACCACATTGTCCAAATATCTATAGTCTGCGTGTGTGGTGTAGGTGACATTGGCATAGCATGAGAGCGGACCATGATCGGCCTTGATGTAGTTCTCCAGTATCCAGTAGTCGCGGGAAATTCTCTCACTTGACTTGTATACCTTGTCCTGGCAGTTGATATATCTCTTCAGTTTTCGTAGACTCCATTTCAGGTCATTGTAACTATCAACCGGAGCCAGGAAAACAATCAAAACACATAGGAATCTGAACATATTTGCACGATTGTTGCCTTAAATTTACTGAATTTTTTAAAGATTTCCAGATTTAAGATGTTTGTTTAACGGATTACTATATATTGCTTGTCAAGAAATTAATTTATTTGAATTAATAGCACACGTCAGGTAATTGTTAACTAAATTATTTAAACTAAACCATTTAGCTGTAATGTGATGGCATTTATTTATTTATTTGTAAGTCTCTCCTTTAAATTGTAACCCTTTAAGGGGCATTTAAAACTCAATTAAGCCAAACCATTCCCAAAAGGTTTCACAATTGAAACGGAAAGCAGCCTACGGAATATAATCTCTTTCGAATGGGGTTTAATATTGATTAGCAGACATTTTAATATGCAGCCTGCGCAAATAAACAATTAATACGGAAAATTAATGTACATTGTTCATTGTTATTCATTGTAAAAGGTAAATTCCAAAAAACCCATCCCCCTCTAGCATGGACAACAAATTTTAATTATGCGCCCAGTTTCTGGCTTCTATTGAGGGCGGGTTTTGGTATATATATATATATAGATTATGTGTATTTGTGTGTATATATATGTATATTGAAATATTAGTAATTACGAGTTGAAAATTCATGAAAACACAATTTGCGATTATTGTTATTAGTGTCAGGCAACAGGCAGGCTTTCGGCAGGGACTCGCACAAAACTTTCGTCCTGCGTGGCTGCGAAAGTTTTCCGTGTGCGGCGAGGAGGAGCTGAGCTGAGGACCGGCGACAGCAGCTGAAAAATTTATAAATTCAATAGCACCTAATTAAAATTAAATCTGAAAGCCGCTCCCTGTATCGACGATGGAGCAGGGCTTAGGCAGACGCCGCCGCTACAGGCTTACAGGATGCCAAACAGCAGGCCAGACCGCCAGTTGAGAACAGAAGGCGAGTGCTTGTTGGCTGGCCAAGGATACAGCGCAGGATATGCATGGTAAACGCTGTAGCCGGAAATGAACACGTGCTGATGTGTGGCAGCCGAACACTTGGCAAAATAATGGCAGCTATAAAATAGTTTTTTATGATGGGTTTATAAGGATTGTAAATACATTATTATGCATTATTTTCTAGAAATAAAGAAACTTCTTAAAGCTGTTCTTAAATTATTTTACTGTTTATTCGACGGAACTATTAGATTTTAATTATGTAACACTAATAATTTTAATATTTTATTTACCAAAATATAAAGATACTTCAATCAGTTTATAGGAAGAAAACCAATATTTACACTATAATAACTGATTGTATAAAACCTTTTTTAACTAAATAAATTCATAGAAGTCCTTGACTTTCATTTTTCGATAAATGAAAAAATATTTTATTGATTTATAGTGGAAAACCGATTACTTCTATAAATACCTCTATAAATAATTGTTTTTAGCTTTTTGACAATAAGCCGACATCTTAACTAGTTTTAAGCAATAAATCAAGAACCCTTAAGCTTTAATTAACGGAAAATATAAAGTTATCCAATCAGTATTTAGATGAAAAACATTATTTCTCAGTGAATATTTCTATGATAATTAAATATATTTAAAATGCATTATGCTCTAACATTCCAGAGAGTATACATTTATTGAATCAGTTTTTTATCAATAAATATATAGTTTTTTTTATTGTATCTATGCAAGTTATTTTTCAAGTAAATAAAATTAGAAATCCCTTAAAAATTCATTTTCTTATTACAAACATTTTTTCAAATAAATTTCTGCTTTAAAAATATTTATTTTTACCACCTAACCATATGTATAGTATACATATATTGTTTATTTTCCATATATATTCTTTACTGTATTAAGATATTTACAATATTTACCTGGTATTTGTGTGGATTTTTGGCAGTGTGTGTGTGTTGTGTGCACGGCATGGAAAACTTTACCAACTGAAACGTTCTGTGTGTTTATTTATGAGCCGGCGTTTGTTTGCCCAGCCAGCTCCTTTCCCAATTCCTGCCCCGGGATGGTTGGGTCTGGCTGTGTGCCATATTAATTATTGAAAGATTTGATATCGGCTTAAAGTTACGTTCGCCCGTCTGTTGCTCTTATTGTTCCAGCACACTTCGTCCCCCCCTTCGCTCTCCTTTCTCTGGCAACCCCTTTGAGCTTCAACATCCTTAAAGGATCCTCACCTGGAGTGAAAATTTAACTCACTTGTCGCATGCATCATCATCAAGGCAGTGCCAAATCTAATTTACCTTGTATACTCGTCGTCCCTTTTGCCACTGTCACAGATTTTCCCTCCCCGACCCATCACCAGCTTGATTTTTCCTTGACTGCTAGCTGCACTTAGTCCTTTACCCAGGCACCTTGGAAATGAACCAATAAATCAGTTTATAATAGTCAAAAGGATGCAGGGTGAAAAAGAGTGAAGTACCAAGTACCAAGTCAGGTTTAACTTTTGATGCAGGCCAGATCAATGGACCCGATGGAAAGTTGAAAGTGTTTCTTCACCAAAAGAAATTATGTTTGCCTGTAGTAGGAGGGGAGCAGAGTTTGGAAAGTCAGAGTCAGAGAATCTCAGATGGATTGAAGTCTAAGCTGGTAGGATACTGTTCAGATTGATGATGAAAAAGTCGGAGGAAAAGCGGCAAAAACAGTTGGTAATCGAATAACGAGCTGCTTTTCCAGTATCCATAATAAAGAATTTTTCAGCCTGAATGCAGTTTGAAAACGAAATAATTATGAGGAATGATAATGGAAATAAGAGAGAGGCCTAAAACGAGCATTAAGATAAATTGATGTTGCTTTAAAACTTCGCCTTGGACAAGTTACTGATATGGAAAATAATGATAGATATTTTAGAAATTTCCAATCTTATACTTAGCTTTAAATGCAATGAATCATCTCAGGACTTCAGTTTATTCATTTACCCAATGGATTCTCTTCCAAAAAAAAAGGAAAAACATTCATTGTTTCAACTTGCTGAATGAAATGTTTTGCAGTTCAAGAGCATGGTTCATAATTTAATTTTGGTGTTAGCATTTTATCCTTTCGAGTGAGTCGATAGTCCTCTCACTGAGCCGATTTCTTGGTAATCTTTGAGGCCAATACACACACATAGACAGACAGACAGAACCGGAAGCTTAGCGAAGCTTGTCAAGTGTCATATAAGTGCTTCTCGAAATTCGTATTTTATTTAAAATCAAGACAAATCTCTCGATTTTGCAGATGACATTTAATGTGGCCTTTCAGAGCAAGGCCTGTCGACACCAGGCAACAACGTCAACATCGAATGTCAACAACACAATACAAATGGCCAAAATGAGAGAGAGAGAGAGGGCCCAGAACGGATGCTGGAGTACGGGTATGTGGTTGAGTGAGAGGAGTCAGAGCCACGCTGCATATTTTAACATTTCCGGTTTGATTTTCACATTCCAAACAAAATGACCGGCAGACGTGCTTCCGCCATCTGCTGCACGCACCCACCCTGGTCGTGGGTCATGGATCCTGGAGAGCAGAATCAAAACCAGAACCAGAACCAGATTCCGGGCCAGGATTCAGGTAAGAACCATATGCATGTGTCCATTGCGTGCACTGAAACATTATGTTTAGCATTGATTTTAATTTTAAAAGAGTTCAAGTGGAAGATTCTATTGGAAAGTACACTTTCATTAAGCTTAATTTTTAAAGTTTAGAAATAAATGTTTCAAAAGATTAGAATTAGGTTTTGAAGAACAAGATTAAGAATCCTGAAATACTTTGTAAACATAGATAAATGTGTTGAAAATGCATAACATTACCCTTTGTTAAAGAGTTGATATGTAAAGATTGACTTCCTAAAGATATATTTGATAAGTGCTTTTGGCATGTAAAAAATTAGAAACTTTGTATTGTATTTTTAATATTTTTCTTTTATATGTTAGAAATTTCTGCCTAATTTTAAAACCTTTTCTTGCAGTGCTTGGTGTAGCTTATACCCATACTAGAGCGACAAATTTATTGTAAGCCAATTGATTAGATCAGATGTCCTTTTCATCATAACAGGCTTATTTTGTCATTCAGTTGCATAGAGTGATATAAAAAATAAACCAACACAGAAGAGATTGCATGAATGAACCCCTATAATCATATTCCAGGCAAATATATGTATATATATATAGTTTTAGGCTCGGCACTACGGGTATAACATTTAACTCTTTAATCTTTTTGATGGGCCAATCGACGGACAGGAGGGGGACATAAAAAATTTACCAGTTGATTTTATGCTGGATTAAGCTTAAACTTTATACTAAAAGGAACTAAGCAAGCGTAAATGGAGTTTCTTTTTTATTTTTACCCTTTTTCTTCGTGCTGCTGCTCCTGCTGTTGTTGTTTCCAGTCCCTTTCCTTGTTAAAATAGCTTTAGTGCGGTCTTTTGCCTTCATCTGGGCCGTGTCCTGGCCCCGAGTCCTTTTTCTCCCTTTGAATATGTGTGTGTGTGTTTGGGGGAAGCTCTAAGCTACGTCTGACTGATTCCGGCACATTTCGGATGGGATGTCGAAAGATATTTGCTGTGACAGTTTTTAGCTCCAAGTCTCCTCTCTGCGCTTTTTTCCGCCCCGTTTTTTTTTGGCTTAAGGGGGTTGCATTTCGGCCTACCGCATCTCTAGACCATAATTCGCATCGAAAACCCATCAAGTAAATTTTTCAAAAGCAAAAGGAGCGACACACAAAAAAGCAAGCAAAATGGAAAAAACCAAGTTGTGGTCAAAGGCTGGGCTTTGGTTCTTTGACGAGGCAATTTTGTGTTCAGGTAATAGCTCTATTATATAATTATGGTACATTATTGTCTGTGGCTTGGTCTGCTGAACACGCACTCCATAGTCAGATATATATATATAAATATATATCTATTGAAGGACTTTGACCCGATGTACACTTGTATTAATATTCCTTGAAAAAAAAGGGCAATACAAATTTGTGTCATTCAACTGCGATGCGTTGACAACGATGAATTCGATGAATCCCCAGGACCCCCTTATCCCCTGTGATTTATTTCAGAACACAACACTATCGATATGTGTCCTGACAGAATCCAATTCCATTTCAATTGACCAGGCAATGCATATATAATACTGTGTATATATGATTTGCCACCCATCCACATCG